TAATTTTTGTTCGGTTTTCTGCACAGCCTTACCACATACAGTGATTGAAGGTTCCAAGAAGAGAATTAAATCATCTTGGTAATAATAAAAAATGCAACTTTAAATAGCAATTTAACCTTTTGCACCTGGGAAAGGTTAGATTTTATGTATATACAAATGCCTTACAGAAGTGCCTAGCATCTAGTAGATTAGAATGACAACACTTTTTATTTTCCTCTGTCAGGTCTTCAGTTGTTGGATATTTTAACCAAGCTAAGGTAAGGCTTTCTTCTTTGAAACTTTATTTTATAATGTGATTCATGTTGATAAAACTATAAAAATACATAGTGCTTATTTAAGCAACGCTGTCACTTTGCCCACATTTCTATCTTATTTCCTTTATAAAAAAAATATTTGGCTTACTGTATGTTTACCACTTCTGTTCTGAGCTCTCTCCTGGTAGAGCTATAAAACCCCCTGTGGTATCTCATTTTTTCCTCCTTTTCTGTTAACCATCGGCCAGAAACAAAACCCAAAAACCACACGTTCCCGAAACTGGATGTATGTTTTTGCACTAGCTTTTTTCTAAACCAAAAGCTAGCATCCAGGCATCCCCAGATTTTGGAGTGTTCAGATCCAGATCTAAATTCTGATGCGTGAGCCCATCTCCATGTTCTAGGTCACAGATCCTGTAAGTATTTGTGCCCATGCCTAATTTTCAGCATGTGATATAGTCCTGTTGAAGTCAACTAACCTACTTCAGTCTTACAGTTAAGAATGTGTTTGAGGGCCTGATCCACATAGCACATTGATGTCAAAGTGAATCTTTCCTTTGGATCAGGCCTGATTTGTGTTATTGGACTGGAGCTAAGCACCTTTCAGGTTAAGCCCTCAGTGTGGGGAGGCAGATGCATCAGTGTTTTCCATGTGACAACTGGATTCTTGCTCTAGGCAGCCTTTTAACATATATTGTGTTACAGAATAGTTAATCAAAAGATCAGGTCCAAAATCTGATTTCCTCTAAAAGATTTCTCCACCCACATCCTGCCAACTCACCTTTTATGGCTTGTTTCTGATTTATCAACACAGTTGTGCTTTTAAACAACGTTTTTCAACCTGTGGTCTGCAGACTTTTGGGATCTGCAGACTACATCTAAGATTTCCAGAAAAAAAAGGAGGGGGGAGAGAAACCCATCTAAATTACTGTTGTTCCTATCACACTGTAAATATGACAGTGGAGGTGCCAAATTCAAAATCTTTCAGACTTTCATTACACAGCAGCGTTGGAAAATCCATTTCCTGCAACACAGAAATCCAACAGTGGTGGTAAATTGAATCCAGGCTGTAAAGTTGTAAATCTTTGTTTTACCATATTTTTTCATTTTTGGAGGCTTATGGAATCCATTTTTAAGAGACAATTTCATTTTATGTTGTTGAAAGATAAACTAAAAATTATCACCAGACAGAGAATTACCAACTGGATAGTAAAAATTCATTGCTGTGAGTAGGGTGAGAATTTTTTTCCCCAAGCAGGTCTGTGCAGCATCTAGCTCACTGAATATCAATGCTACTGCTACTACTAATGCTACTACTCCTGCTGGCCCATGGGAATGGAGGGGCATCTCTGTTCCCATCCTCCAAACCTTGCCCCTTCTTGCTCCACCCTCGCCCCTCCATTGCAACCATCCCCCTAAGAATACGGCCTCGGGAGACAGAGTGCAATGGGGTAGGGAGGGCAAGGCCATGGATGGAAGGAGTGGGGCTTAAGGGTCTGGGACGGACAATTGCGAATATGCTACTGTGGTAAATGGCCTGCAGGCCATAAGTTTGAGACCCCTGCTTTAAACAAAACGGCTGCGTCTAGACTGGCATGATTTTGTGCAAATACTTTTAACGGAAAAGTTTTTCCGTTAAAAGTATTTGCGCAAGAGAGCGTCTATATTGGCATGTGCCTTTGCGCAAAAGCATCAATGCCAGTGTAGACGCTTTCTTGCGCAAGAAAGCTCCAATGGCCATTTTAGCCATCGGGCTTTCTTGCGCAAGAAATTAACTTGGCTGTCTACACTGGCCCTCTTGTGCAAGAATACTTGCGCAAGAGGGCTTATCCCTGAGCGGGAGCGTCGGAGTATTTGCGCAAGAACCACTGATTTTGTACAGTACAAAGTCAGTGTTCTTGTGCAAATACGCGCGGCCAGTGTAGACAGGCAGCAAGATTTTGCGCAAAAGCAGCTGCTTTTACGCAAAATCTTGCCAATCAAGACACACCCAGAGGGTGCATAAGACATGTTTTGCTTCATCCACACTTACCACAGTTTTAGGTGGGGCAGTTTTCAAGATTGCTTTTGTGAAGAGTTTGTAGATTCAATCCAAACAGACCACTGTGGATCAGTGTGCTGCTGTCTTGTCGAGTGTGTATCTCAGCTCACCTGATAGTATCAACAGCTTCTGGATACTGAACAATTTGGGGACAGTTTACTATTTGATTGCTAATCATGGCTAGATTACCTGTCGGAACAAACTGTTCATTTGAAAGGACAGTCCATGAGGAAACCATGTCACGTTTTAAGATATGTGCATAATAAATGTCAATTGTGCACATAGCCGGGACGTCTGCCCCAGCCCTTTAAAAATTAAGAAGCGTGCCGTGTTTCCATTACCATCAACTCCCGAGGTTGGGTGCCTGTTTTGTGAGTGCTGCAAATTATGGTTTCCAATAAATACATCCTTTTTTTTAAATCAGGGAAGTAACTTCAGCTGACAAAGTAAATAAACCATTTGAATGAATCGTTTATCCTTTGGATAAATAATTAGTGTCAGGTGAAAGGGGAAGAATTAAAAAAGAGAAATGTCAAAATCCTGTCAAAACTCCGAGCAGATTTTTCTTTTCTCATTTCATAAAACACATTCGGGGTCAGGTTTGGCCGCACTTCTTTATCTTAGCCCCTTGCTCTGGGAAGCTGTCCCATTGATTTCAGGGGGTTCCTTGCAAAGGAGGTACTCTGCAGTGGGAGGAGTGCTGGGAGAATTGGCTCCTTTATTAATAACAAGAGAAGGGTCATTTCAGTAATGAATTGTCAGGTTGGTGGGTGAAAAAGTACAAGAGACTCCAACACAGAAGTGACAACTGGAATTGGTGCTCTCCAATTAAAATGGGTGCTGTGATATTGTAGAGATATAGAAGATGAGGACCTGCTTATCCAGTGCGAGACGTTTGAGGAGTCCAAGTCAGAAGACGATGAGGAATTGTTAAAGATTTGCGATGGGATTGACATGAACAGTCACCACGAGGTCTTTTCATGCCTTTTCAATAAAGTGAGTGAGACCTACACTTGGGGGAAACTGTTCTGCAGGGGAATGACAGAGACCAGAAATAGGCGCTGAAGTGGTGCCTGAAAAGGAGAAGATGCAATTAATAGGAAACTGTCTTGTATTCCAGGTGAGCAGCTCTCCAGTCGCCATCCAGCTGCTGTCCATTCTCCAGACTCTTTTGCATTTGGAGCCTTCTCACCACTCCAGCATATTGTTGTGGGAATCTTTGGAAATCTTAGCACACAGAGCCATCTTGCTTGCAAATGACAGTAAGAACAACTTGTCTGTCTCCCAATTTCCCCAAATCAAATGGATATATATTACTTCCATTATGGGATCCACTCAGAATTAAACAGAAAAAAATCACTACGTAGTCTGTTCTGAAGTCCTTGGGTCACTGGAATCAGGATTTCACTCCTTTGGCCTTGTTTATACTACAGACTCTTTATCAGTACAGCCGCTCTCCGAATTACGAACAAGTTACGGACCAACACTTGGTCCGTAACTCGAAGTGTTTGTAACTTGGATCCCATAGAGTTACATGGCGACCGCGCTGTTCGTAAGCGTGGATCGCCGTTCGTAACTCAGATCTGCATTTACAAGTGCTTTGGTCGTAAGTGCGGAGGGTCGTAAGTGGAGGTGGTCGTAACTCGGGGAGCGGCTTTATAGATATGGCAGCAGAGTGCCCTACTGGAAATACGGCATAAATCAACTGAAGGAGTTCCACCGTCATAGGTACACCGCCTCTCTAAGAGACATTACCTTAGCTGAGAGCTCTCTTCTGTTGCCCCAGTTGCATCTACCTCAGGTTATTTGCTCAATGTTACTATGTTAGCTAGAGGGCATGATTTTTTTTCACGTTCCCACTTGAGGTAGCTACACTGGCAAAATATTGGAGTGTAGACTAAGGCCTTGTCTCTACAAGTGATTCCTGGGGTTTATTCTGATACAAAATCTATTGAAGTCAATGAGTCTTTCTGTTGATTGCAGTTGGTCCCATAAACACCCACAAAGGCGTAGTTA